TATAATGGAGGTCCAGTTTCCTGTGCCTTTTAGTGTTGTATCTGCTTATAAGCAGATACAAATTTGAATCAATTTGACTGTATGATCTGGTTGAACTGTAAAGTGCCTTGAGATGACATGTGTTATGAATTGGCGCTATATAAATAAACGGAATTGAATTGAATTAAGTCCAATTAATTAGGTTATTAGCAAGAATTTTGAAACCTGAATCCATTTTAAGAAGTAAAGCTGTGTGATATGGCCGAAAATGTACTGTTACGGCCCAAGGCCTTTCCTGAGTCCTTAACATCCCTGTGTAGAGCTTCTAATTGGTGCTGATTGGAAGTGGAGGCAGCTGGCCAGACTGACGTCAGATCCATCTTAAGGATCACCAATCTTCCTCACCTGGAGGCCCAAACCAAGCTCCACAGCCCAAGCTACGCTCATACCCAAGTCAGATGATCAACCCCGACTGGTAGCAGCTTAGCTCAGACCGGACCAGCTTGGAGGAGCTCAGCTCCTTCTTTCTCTCTCTCTGCTCTCCTCTCCAGCCTATTATTTTTTTGTTAAATAAATCCCACTTTAAGTTATCCCCATGCGTGGCTTCCCTTCGATTTGTTGTGGTCCAAGAGCCAGGCCATAAGAGTGCCATGATAAATTATATTTAACCTATTTAAAATAAGAAAAAGCTGAGTTTAAATTGACACCCTAACCTTTTTTTTTTTAAATGTAACATTTAACCTTTAAAAATAAGTCAGACCTACCACCATCATCTGCTGTCTATGTCAATATATATTTTTTGATAGTGTTTTAATGCCTTACCCCGAGAAGGTAATTCAGGTCTGTTTCTTAACACCCAAATCAAGATCTGTTTAGGAGCAGGCCTGACCTGAGGACAGCTGAGGTGGAACAAATTCTAAAAAAATCAGAGCACCAGGCCTCCAGTACTATAGCAGACATATGCTATAGGAATTATTTCAATATCTCAACATTTGTACCTTTTTTTTTTTTTTCTTTGGACAGAAGTTATTGCTCCCTTGCTCCCTCTCTAGGACCTGACTAAACCATTGTCCCTTGCAACAACTTCCATCCAGCTTCAGAAACTACTGGGCAAACCCCTTAATTCCCCCCTTAATAATGGATATACATCAGGAATTTTTGAATGTGCTATTTACTGATGTTTTAATTTATAATCAGGTCACTGGCTGTCCGTGTTTATTTAAAATCCTTGAAAACATTCTGTGAGAATCAACTGAAGGGAAAAAAAAGAAACCTAAAAATAATTCATTGAACAGTTTCTGTTGCAAATTTCCGGGGGTTTTTTTCTGTCAGCAGAGCATAGATGGAGAAGGCAGGTGATGAAGAGGGAAAATAGCAGCTCACATGTAACTTTTGGGCTTGCCAAGGAAAGAAAAATAATGATATGACAGTAATGACAATCTTGGTGTTATTTTTGATCAGGACCTGTCATTTATATCCCATATAAAAGAGGTTTCTAGAATTTCCTCCTTTCATCTGGAGAATATTGCAAAAATTAGATCCTGTCCAGGGTTGATGCTGAGAAACTAGTCAATGCATTTGTTACTTCAAGGCTGGACTATTGTAATTCTTTACTATGAGGA